TTTTCCTCTAACATTTATTTTGACAGAGTGAATGGGGAAGGAGCAGAGAGAGAGGGAGACACAGAATTGAAAAAGACTCCTGTGTTCTGAAGGCCAGCATTTGTAGAGCCTGGGATAAAGCTTGAACCCACTAACTCCCGTGAAATCACAACCTGAGCTTGAAATGGATGCTTAACGACTGAGCCACCCAGGCGCCCCCCATACCTTTTTTGTTGTTGAGTTGTAAGAATTCTAATTCCATATACTAGACCCCTTATCACATATGATTTAAAAATATTTTCTCTTATCCTGTGAATATCTTTTCACTTTCTTGATAGTGCTCTTTTACGTAACATTTTTACATACGATCTTTAAAGTGCATTTTTACAATGTTTATTTATTTTGAGAGAGAGAGAGAGAGCAGTGTGCATTTGCCACGCTGGCTTATGTGTGGGAGAGGGGCAGAGAGAGGGGAGAGAGAGAACCCCAAGCAGGCTCTGAGCCATCAGGTGTAGAGCCTGATGTGGGTAAAATCTTGGCCTGAGCCACTGGGCCCCACAAGAGTTAGACGCTTAACTCAACTGAGCTCACGAGGCACCCCAAACATTTGTTTTATTATTAGGGCTTGCAGCTTAGGTCGGTGCCAGTGCCCCACTTCTGCCGGTCACGTATCTCGCATGGTCCGCGAGTTCAGTGCCCGCCAGGGCTCTGGGCTGATGGCTCGAGCCTGGAGCCTGCTCTCCGACTCCTTGTGTTCCCTCTCTCTCTGCCCCTCCCTGCTCATGCTCTGGCTCCCTCTCTCTGTCCCAAAAAAAATAAACGTTGAAAAAAAATTTATTATCAAACGTGCGCGGTGAGGACACCTCATGATGATCCACATGAGTTAAAAGAGGAAGCTGTTCTCTTGCGGTGTTGGGCACAATTTAGCAGCCATTCCTAATAAACTCTAAGTAAAACAGAACTGGAAGAAAAATAATTCAACACTGATAATGTATTCTTAACAAACCAGTAACAACCATTCAACCACATGAGGCCATGCCGAACCCACTGCCTCGAAACAACAGGAAAAGGCTAGATGTCCATCGATTCAACCGTGTGATTTCAAGGTTTGGATTGATGATGACCGGAGAGACAGGAAAAAGTATTGGCACCAATATTTGAAAAGAAATAGTGAGGGGCACCTGCGGCTCAGTCAGTTGAGGATCTGACTTCCGCTCGGAACCAGCGGTGCGTGAGCGAGGACTACCGATCTGGAAACCATCTTGCAAAGCGATGCCCGCTAAAAGGAAATCCAAATGGGCTTAATTTCAAGCATTTATAATAGGATGTGGAACAGATTCTTCCTGTTATCTGAGCACAATATATTTGTTAAATACCCCCTACATTCTAGAGAGAGTATGGACATGCTCTTTGAAAGTTTTCCATAAAAAACACCAGAGCTAGTTCTTTGACAATCAGCCCCATCCTCCGCTTCCAGATAACAAGCAATTAATAATTCAGGAAAGGACTGAAACAGAACGGAGGAGAGCCAGTGTCATGCCCAGTTCTATTTTTTTTTTAAATTTTTTTCTCAACGTTTTTTATTTATTCCTGGGACAGAGAGAGACAGAGCATGAACCCGGGGAGGGGCAGAGAGAGAGAGGGAGAATCGTGAAACAGGCTCCAGGCCCGGTGTTATCCCCAGAGCTTCCGGACGCGGGCTCCTAACCACGGACCGCCCATGAGATCGCGGACCTGCTGAAGTCGACGCCAGAACCCACTGGCGCCACCCAGGCTGCTCTGCCTCTATTTTTTAACACCATGAAGTAGATGATCTAACTCCCTCCCTTCTTTCATATGTCACATTGCTTTTAGCATATTTATTTTATCAAAATGGAAACTATACCACTCAAAGGCTCCTACATATATTTTCAAAAATAGATAATAAACATTCACACACAACTTCCTCCTTTGTTTTATTTTCAGTTTGTAAATTTGTCACACAGGTTTTCTGTATGTAAGTGACAAAAACTCTCTCTTCACACTGTAACCCAGGCACTCACTGTAAAGCTGAGTTTTGTAGAGGGCCTCATGGGTCCTGTAAGCTCTATTTCTTGGCCCAAGAGGGAAATTTATCTGGGTGACTTGATCTAAGGCTCCAAAACAGAGTTTCTCTCTGAAGCTTGTTTTGGGCGGGTTTTAGGCCTGTTGTTGCTCCGATTTCAGCCGGGTCGGATCTCAAAGCGTCCGTGAGTTCAGCCCCGAAATAGTGGGCTCCTGGGCGTGATGGCCTCGGAGTCT